TTTAAAATTGTGATTATCCCTTTTACAGAAAATCTGATATTGAAGATGAAGAAATCATCGAGAAGACACTTACTGAGAGACAAATACTTGCTAGCTCGGACCTGTTGGAAAACTTGTCGTTGGAGGGCGACGAAGTGGTTAGTTTAAAAAATGTTTATTTCGACTCATAGATTTGGATCTGTGGGTTATTTATTATATATTTTCATGGTATATTATTAATATTAACAAAAGAAGACATCAAACTAATCGCTTAATTTGTGTGTAGGTGACATCAGTGAAGGTAGCGAATGACGCTAGGGAGCTACAGCGACGAAGAGAGGCGCAGGAAATCCGAAGAAAGTTGCTGAAGAAGCTCGAGGAAGATGACAAGGAATGCATGAAAAGGTACCGGAAGATCAACGAGAAGTGGTCAGGCATTCTCGCATCCAAGGATCCGTTAGACATACACGCGGAAATGGAAGCCCAAAATGCCAAGTGTCTGGAAATCTTAGAGAGGAAAGACGCCGTCATCGCGCAGTTGCGAGAAGAGTTGGAGAACGCCGATCTTAAATTCGTTAATGATCAGAAAAGTCAAAATGAGGATGTAGATTTATTAATCAATAGGATGGACAATCAAGTTAGATATACAAATAATTTTAGCAATTATATTAATACGTAACTTAATGTATTAAGGGCTCGTATATTTTATTTAGATGGACATCATGACTAAAGCTTACCGTTGCGAATTATCGCTTATTAATGACGCAATAGACTCGGAGCATAAGATACTGCTGGAAAATCTTTCGGAGAAATGGGAAGCGCTGTACAAAAAGTTACAGGAGGATAGCCTTGCGGGATTAGACAGACGAAAGGAAATAATGCAAGAGTACGAGGAAGAGATGAAAAGAGTAATGATCGAGCATCAGGAGGAATTCCGGGCGCAGAAAATTAGTTTTGAACTTGAGATACAGAAGCTTGAACAGGAGGTGGAGAACACGAAAGCGCTTTGTTTCATGAACATTGAGAAATTAGACTACAGTTATGCCGTGCTTAAGCGACGAGAGGACGAAAACGCTACAGTGAAAAATCAGCAAAAGAGAAGAATTAATAAGTCGGTATTGAATGCAAATTGAATTGTTTTATACGATTGAATACAGCGAGGCTTCGTATTCCTAGAGATCGTTAAATTAATTATGATTAACTGATAAATTGGCGTTCTTTTCAGACTTCAAGATGTTGCCAGTGGTTTAAAAAAAAATTATACAGAATTAGAAGAAAACACGAGGCTTGAAATACAGAAGTTCACCGACCAAGTTATAAAAACGCACAAGAATATCTTGGATTTGATAGAAAAGTCGAATCACTTCACAAGAATAAATGATAAGAAGTTTATGCAAATTTGGGATATGAACGAAAAAAAAGCGAATGAACTGCTTGATAAGGTACGTTAAGGTAAATATTTTAATAGTATCGATGTTAAAAATATAACGTATTTTAGATTTTAAACGCTGATAAAATTATATACGAACAACTATTGGGCGTGGAATGGAAGCCACCTGAAAAAACTTTGCTAAAAAAGGAAGATTTACCGTCTTATCGTAATGTGATGTGTGCAATAGAGGAAGGTAACGATTAATTAAACACCTTTTTAATCGATCGCATATGAAATTTTCCTGACAAGTGCGTGCTTGCGTTCTTTAAGAGAACAGATTGATCAACGAGAAAAAAATAATATGTAAATCTTACAAATCGGCGAGTACCATCGAGGAGATCAATTTAGAAAGACAATTATTAAATCGTATCATAAAGCAAATTTCGGATCGTTGTGACTATTTGATTGAAGATAAATTACTTGAGTTACTTTTACCTTACACCGCGAATGATCAGCTGGTCATACGATTAGATAATGTATTTCAGGTAAATATGCATGAAAGATATCTCATTTCATTTCGTTATAATATTGTCGTATATTATTAGGCATTAAATATCAAATCTGAGAAGGAGCTTGGCTTTCTCTTGAATTTCTTTCTGCCGTATGCATATTGTCCTATGTGTAGCGAGGATATAAGCAGATCTACCGAGGAATCTCCTTCTCTGAAAACGGAGTGAGTAAATAGTATATAATAACTAATTAAACAATGCATGTATTTTTTAAGTAATTTTGCAAGCAATATTTGAAATATTAGCATTGAACAAGCAGACGTCTGTGGAGCTACTGAGGAATTCACGAAAGACGAAGCTAAATTAATTGCCACTGTGAAAGAAGCAATCTGTGATGAACAATTATCTACTCCTAGCGACGAAATGAGCATTATAGGTACTTCATCTCGAAGTTCTTCGACTAAAACAGTACTTCCTATCGCTGAATGCACTTCAACTTCTGATGGATCTATTAGTGATATCGTTAAAGGTACGCGTACTTTTACTTCCGACTTTAATGAACGGAAATTATATGTATGTATATATATATATAAAACACAGCTAGAGAAAATTTTATATTAATAAAATTAATATTAATTTTATTCATTTTGTACAGACGATGATCAAATGCAACGACGATTATTGTGCGACAAGGGACATTTGCTTGAAATAGAAGCTACGTTTGTCAGTAGAGCATTACGAGAATTCGTAGAAAGATATCATTTTGTTAAATGGAAAGAGATGCCAGAGACATTTCAAGAAAAATTAACAGAGAAAAAGACAGTCGTATCGCGAAATATGACAGTTCAGGACATAACAGATTTTTGGAATCGATATAATGAAATTTTCCCAGCAAAAAAAGAACGACTTTGGGATGGCTTATTGATTGGACTTAATAAGTATCACGAAATATTAAAAGAACGACATAATTTGAATATTGAAGTGAAATCTTTACGAACGCAAAATGCAGAATTACGCCGTTTATTGAAAACATACACAATCCAAGTAATATCAACAAATAATATATACAAAAATCACATAATAAAAAATAGTTGAAATATTAATACTTTGCATGCTTTTTTTAGTGTAAATGTGATGGACTCCCGCAAAATGATGCACGATCTATTCATGAAGCGACTTAGGATAATACTTGTGAATACATTTGTATTCTTAAATTTCAATTAATTGTAGTTCATTAAATTTAGTATATCGTTTTTTACAACCAGAGTGAAATATAAATATACATTATATCACTATATACATAATTTTGTAACTTTTATTGGACGATGGTCTATTATTTTATCTGATGATTTGAAAGATGAACTCTACGAAAACTTTCGAATTTAATCTTAATATCATTTAATCTTAATATTAAGGAGATTACAACTCTGAATAAAAATGTTTTTTAATGATTTAAAATTTATGAAAATTAAAATTACTATTACGTATATTCACATTTAAGTTATATTTATAATAATTTATATGATCATGATTTATTAGTTAATAGAACAACATCATTTCAAACTATCTCGAAATATATGATTCAAATAAGATGTGCATTTTATGCACGTCGTGCAAATTGCATGACGTGCAAATTATGTAACTTATTGCGGATATGTAAAATTGCTAGGTACAAAGCTGAGTGACAAAGATGGTATCTGTTGCTTGGGAATCGTATTTCTTGGGTGTTTTGGTCTTCTCCAATACGGAACAAATGCTTTGGATTTATTTGGACTAAAAGATTTCCTCACTTTGTCAGCATGTTTCTCCGAATTCATATGCTGCAAATATATAAAAACGAGCGATATTAAATTTTAAATATATCATACATTGTCGTACATTCTCGACATTTCTATATAATTATATGTGGTAAATTATATATAAAAGTGTATAAAGTAACATTGTATAAAGTGAGATAAATTTTATCGTGAGATAAAATTAGATATGCACAAATATATATATAAAATTATTGTACCACGCTATATTGAGATCCAGAGTTGAAGAACTTGCTACATATATCGCATTTAAGGTAGTTACTGTTCCTGGCAACAGTCGATCAACACTATCTATATATCACAGCCGCCGAAGCGGTAATTTGTGATAATAAATCAGCTTGAACACTACATTCATGCTATAAAAAGATTGGTCATTAATGAGCGTATAATATCAAGAATATATAATTACTAAGAGTATCTCTGTAATGTGTAAAAATAAAGTGTATTTTCATGCGAAAATAATCCATTAATTGACAAACTTTTTATAGCAATATAAGGGATTGTATATAAATACCTGTAGAATATTTTTATCAGGTATAGATTTTTACATACGATTTATAGATATATATGTTTGTGTGTGTGTGCGTGTGTGTGTGTGTATGTGTATTAATGTATATTACGATTGTTTTAAAGTTTACAGAATTTTTATCAAAAAATTTTGTTTTAAAATAGGGAGTTTTTGCAATAACGTAGATCCAGATACGATGAAAGCTAAGGTCACATTATCTTCTTTCTAATAACTAATTAAGAAAAGGATAACTTTAGCGTTCTCCGTATCTGGATCTACATTATTGCAAACACTTCCTATTATAAGACAATCGCTCCTTAATTTCTTTTAAAAATTAAAATATAAATTTAGAAAAGTATACAACACACATAAATATATATACATATATATATATACAATATCATTACATGGAAATTTAATAACTCGCATTATTTGTCGTTCTTTATTTTTCATGAAATATTTTTCATATATAAAGCAGTCATTAAAAAAATAACAAAAAATATTTCTATAACATAATAATATTAATAAAAAAGTAATACATATGTAAAATTTGTACATGAGAAGGAATTAAGAGGTACAATCAAACAAACTTAGTTTATTAAATGTAACATATGCAAACAAGTCGTGACCAAACTGTTTTTCACGATAACATGTTAATAAGCAAACGAATATAATATTTTTTATCTTTCAATAATAATTAAATATTAAATAAATAATAATAAATAATAACGCAGAATAACAACAAATTTGCAATTATCACTAAGCGCTTACTAGCACTGAAATTCTACAACAATAAAAATTATGCGAATGGCAAGCAAGTTAATTCCACATAGTTAATTCAGAGAAAGAAGTGAAAAGCAAAAGTAAGCAGTAGCGTCAAGCATGCGAATGCGAACAATACTAAACTATAAACTAATACAACTGTATTTTTCTCTATTTTATCCAGGTACATGAAGCGATTAGTTTTAAGACCATATGGCAGTGTTTTTCTTACCATATAGGATTTATTATTACCTCTCATTAATTTCTTTTTATGACGGCTTCCTGCAAATACACGTTCCATATCATTTTTAATATTATCTTAATTTTACAAGTTTTATACTGAATTTATGATATATCGCAAGTAGTATGTTATATATTCATTACCATTGAGATGCGTTTGTAGTTGCTGGATTGAATTCAGGCACACGTTACATACATTGCATTTGAGTCCGTTTGTCTCTTCATCCTTGGTAAATGAGATCTTCGTTTCCTCAAGAGTTGCCATTATATTCTTAGATCTTACCTGTAATATCATTAAATAATAAAAAAACCATGTGTTCAAATCTTACGTTTGTCTCTAGTTATTACTGACCTGTTTGGCATGACGTGCACCCTGTAAATGCGTATCTAATACTGCCTGACTTGTAAAGGAAAGGTCACAGTCTTCGCATCGAACGAGAGGCTTTTTTGTGGGTAGGTTACCCATTATATTATCGACCACTGCCTTTGTTACAGGATCGTCGAGGTTTGTATTCATGACGTTCTCTGACGGTACAGCCATTTTCTCAGTCTAAAATACATTAAACGTACGTTAATCGAGGCTCTTTCGAGCGAGATCCATTCCCGTTGACTCGAAAACAGTAGAGTGTGCATTTCTGGAGTAGACGACAAAAGCGAATTATATCTCTGCGCGTATTATCTAGGAAGGGATTATTACATCTAATATACCGTATTTATCGTCGTACAAGAGACCTTATCCTAACGTAAAATTTCTTCCGGCACACACTCTGCGCGCGCGCTATCGTCGACTTGTATGTATGCCGTTTGCGCTACGATAATTATACGATATTAAATCAGTGTAACGTGGCCGTTTCGTCGGAGTATTAAATACAATTGTGCTGACATGTGATAATTACCGTTACAGTTCTGCCGTAAAGTTGATCGGTGTAAGCTGCTGTTGTGAGAATACAATTTTTTTGGTCCGTTCCAGGAATCGCCGTGTAAATATAGCGCTTTTTCAAATCACTGTTCCTTTGGACGGACAGACCGACATCAACGTGCGACCTCGTACATACAATCTCTAGCTAGTCCAGTAGCTTTTGAGAATCTTGAGAATTGCACCTATCGCGACTCTCGTCCCTCCCTTTGATACTTGATCATATGTTCATCCATTTCATCCTTTATCCGAGATACGAAAAGTGTAAACGGTGCAATTAACGAAGAACAAGTCCGCGGACGATCGAGGTACGACCAATGGAACGCTCCCGTTCTCTCACAGAGCGAACGCCATTGGCTGTTCCGTTGGTACCTCTTGTCGTGGATCTTACGAATTTTCATGTGTCGTGTCACGCGAAGGGTATCAAGCTCTTGTTATGGCAACATATTTGTGGCTTATTTATAAGGTTTTTGAACGGTTGTTTTGGACCAACGCCATCGGATGAAGATCCTTATATGACAGAGGCCACAAAATGACAAATTTTTTATTGGTCCGTCATTATTTTTACCAACTTTAGTATGGGCGAATTTTTTTAATTCATCGATTGATCAATCGCATTATGTGTAAATGCTGTTTTTATGGAACAAATTATATTTTCGCACAAGCGATTGATGAATTAAAAAATTTGCTATAAGTAATTTAGCGTAGAGCGAGTGATAGAATTCAACTAATGGAGAATTCGATTGGAAGAACTAGTGCGCACTGGTGCATATTAAAGCCGTTGTACACTAATTTAATTTAAGTATAAAAATGAAATGCAAATATTTCGAATTATGAAGTACATATTTTACTTAATAATACAATAAAATGTATTGAGAATTTCACGATTTAATCGATCTCTCTGTTTATTTATAAACATTTCTTTACGTTATTTCGTGTACAACGGCTTTAATTACACTAGTGCGCACTGAGTGCGTCCAATCGAATTCGCCATAAGAGTATATCCACACAAACTGCTTGCATAGCTACATAAATGTATGCATAATGAAAATTATTCAATCGCATTTCTAGCTCTTATAAAGAGAACGTAAAATGTGATTGGATAATTTTCTTTATGCGACCATGCAAATTTGTATGGATATAATACCTTATAAGATAGGAGCACATTGCAGAATCTCTTGCATAATGCATAAAGAATGTAAGAAAATCAAACAATCAGAGTTTTTATTTCATAGAAAGACAGGAAAGAAGGATTTTAATTGATTCATTTTTTATGCATTATCTGCGTCATGTGTTATGCAAGAATCTGTACTCCCGCTCTAAAGTGAGATAGCACGTATAAAAAGAAACAGTATATTCTTGTTTTTCAAGCTATGATCAGATTCGACTAGAGATTGAGATTGAGATTGGATTGGAATTAGTCAGAAGAATGAAAACTAATAATCTTAAGTTTAGATAGATTAGTTTTCATTCTTCTGATTGGTTAAATTCCAATCCAATCTCAATCTTAATCTTGATTGCATCCAGAATATTGTTGAGTTGAAGAATTCTTGGTTCTTCGATTATTTATTGTTTATGACTTCGCTTCGTATAATTGTCGCATACATGGCCATGAGGATTGATGAGGATAGGATCATTTAAGGATTAATTTAAATTGGCCGTAATCTGTTAACTTATGCTACAATCTGCAAGAATTGACCAATCATAGTCGAATAAGAGGGGAATAATCGACTATGATTGGTCGATTTTTAAGGACCATTTATACTTGCTGCAATCAGTTAATTTATCCCGCTGCCATTGTCTTCGACTCCCTCACGATGATTGGGGCTGCGGTCCACTTGACGCTACAAACGCTTCGAAGCATTCTTTGATTAGTCAATTTGTAAAATTCTTTGTTCTGATTGGTCGCTCAAACGCTTCGAAGCGGACCGCAGCCTGGATCGCATTGCGTGTGCGATTATCTATAATCTGTTGACTTATGCCGTAATCTGTAAGAATTGACCAATCACAGTCGAATAAGAAGGGAACAATCGACGATTCGACTATGATTCTTAGGCCGGAATCAGACTACGCATTGAAGATTGAGATTGAAGATTGAAAAATTCAAATTTGACCAATCGAAACGAAAGAAGCTAAAATTTCTTTGTCTTTATTGGTCAAATTTCAATCTTTAATCTTCAATCTCAATCTTCAATGCGTAATCTGATTCCGGCCTTAGAGAGCGTTTATATTGGCTGTAATCTGTAAAAATTGACCAATCACCTTCGAGTATTCCCTTCTTAAAGTCGAATACTCGACTGTGATTAGTCAATTCTTACCCCGGATCTACAATAGAGTTTTAAGCCTTAAGCCATAAGAAATGAACGAATCATAGTCGATTATTCTCCTCGAATTCGACTGTAATTGATCAATTTCTTACGACTTAAGGCTTAAAACACCTATTGTAGATCCGGACTTACAGATTAGTCCGCAAACACAATAGAAGTAGTAAGCCTTAAGCCTTAAGGAACTGACCAATCATAGTCGATTATTCTTCTCACATTCGACTGCGATTGATCAATTTTTTAAAGCTTAAGGATTACTGCTCCTATTGTGTTTGTGGATTTATGGCATACGGCATACGGTTACGGCTGTAATATAAACGCTCCCTTACAGATTACGGCATACGTTAACAGATTATGGGCAGTATAAATAATTCTAACACGCAGTGCGATCCAATGATCGCGAGGGAGTAGGTTTGTTCGCGTTGCATGCTCCAACATGTTCCAACATGCTCCTATCATAGCTCTTACTCGCTCCAACGTGTTTAGTAGAGTGAGTAGGAGTTATGGTAGGAGCATGTTGGAGCATGTTGGAGCTTGCGACGCGAACAAACCTTAAGACAATAGCGGCGGGTTTTTCCAGCCAATGAAGCGGCTCGGTGCGCGTGCCGCTTGACGGCGGTGCGCGCGTGTGCGTGTGCGTGAGCGCGTATAGGTGCCCGTCGCGAAATATAGTAGCAGCCATCTTATATTTTGTGTCGGAGAAAAACAATTTGACTGTACAAATGTTTCGCGATTGCCCGTGAAGCCGCACGACGCAGGGAGGCGGTGCGCTCGATGAGGCGCGACGTTTTTCGACCCTAGACCCGGACCACTACATTAGCAAAGGTTTGTACGGAAGCGGTGAGCGCGTCTAATCGGTTTTCCACCGAGGAGACGCGCATACAACAGACACGAACTATCCCCTCCACTCGCGGGAGAAATCCGGTCTCGCCGACAACGATTATATTTTCGTCGATTCTCCATCGGCCGCCCTTTTAAAAATAGAGCGACTCGCGTCACTCGCCATCGAAGACCCCGGAGATGCTTCCGCGGTGCCGTCCGCGCCGTGCGCGACGCGCCCCGCGGTTAAAAGTTATGCAATCAGCTGATCGTCTAGCTACCTTCTGTCACTTGTCAAAGATAAATGTCAAAGCGAATTTCGGTCTAACCTGACGCGGCCGAATGCGCGCCACGGCCATCCGCGGGTAACGCTCGCGTGGATGACGCCGCTTCTTTCCCTCCCTTCCCCTCTTGCCCCCGGGGCGTACCGCGCTCTAGAGCTTTGTTCTCACACGCAGGTGGATTGGTACACAGGATATGAGCAGTTTGTCAAGCGCAACCTGACTCTGCTCCCCCATCAACAAGCAGCACAGCAGCAGGACGAGCAGTCTCAGCAGCTGGCTCAACCACAACAGACTGTCATTATGACGTCCATGTTCGATCAACAGATCAAGAGCGAACCCATGGGGTTCTATTCGGTTGCTTCCAGTCGTTCAGATGGATCCAATTCCTTGGTGAATCTGTCCGACGATCGAGAAGATCTTTCCCAGCAAGAGGGTCACCTGCAGCCTCAGCAGCAAACGTTGCAGCTGAGTCAGCAGCAAAGTCAACAACAGGGCCAGCCGCAGAGTCAGCAACAACCGCAACAGAATCAACAACAGCAGAGTCAGGGTATGCAACAGGAGCCATCGAATCGTCAGTCTTCGGGTCAACAGACCGTTACCGCTAAAGAGGGCTCACGGTCCAAACCTCAACCTTGCAAGGTCTGCGGCAAGGTACTGTCCTCCGCTTCGTCCTATTATGTGCATATGAAACTTCATTCGGGGAACAAGCCCTACCATTGTACAGTATGCGAGGCGAGTTTTTGCCGCAAACCTTATCTAGAAGTGCACATGAGGACGCACACGGGCGAACGACCTTTTCAATGTGAGCTGTGTCTGAAAAGGTTTACTCAAAAGAGCAGTCTCAATACTCATAAACGAGTGCACACGGGCGAACGACCGTATGCGTGCGACATTTGCCACAAACGTTTCGCCGTCAAGAGCTACGTCACTGCGCACCGTTGGAGCCACGTAGCCGAGAAGCCTCTGGTCTGCGACCGATGTTCTCTCACGTTCACGTCCAAAAGTCAATTTGCGATTCACATCCGTACACATACCGCCAGTACCACTTACGAGTGTAATCTCTGTGGGCGTACGTTTGTACGCGACAGTTATTTGATAAGGCATCAAAACCGGGTGCACCGCGACATGACTCAGAGCACGAATCACAATCCACCGACGCCGCAGAGCAGCGGTGCCGGCACCCCGGGCACCGGTTTCGAGAGCCCGGTCTGTGATCTGCGCTACAGCGAAGGACCGTCGTCACTGGACGGTCTCTCAGGAGCTAAAGGCACGGGCATCGCCGCGGAAATTGCCAGTTTAGCCAAGCAGAACAATCTACAGCTTCCACTACCGCTGCTGCATCCGCAGACCACCAACTAGTGTTTAGACAGCAGCAGCGCTACCCAGTCCCTGCCGCAACATCAATCACCACAGCAAGTAGTATGTCCCACCTCGGCGTCTTCGCCGTTCACACTTAACTCACCTATATCTCACACCGAGCACACGAGCACACCGCAGAGTGTCTACCAAACGACGGGCTCCTCCGATTCCTTGGAAAGCCCCAACTCCCAACTCTATCCGCACTTGTCGTCCCCTCTAGATCCAACATCGGAGTCGCAACATCAGCTGCACCGCGGCATCCCTCCGCCAGGGCTTCATCCCGCACTCTATCTATACGCTCAGTACTCGAATACGAGTCCCGCGACTTCGTACTCGGAATACATTCAGCGTAATAACTAAACGCGAGTTTTCATTTAGCATCGCTCGAGTTCCAACGCGAACGAAAATACCAGTGAAACTGGTGCTATTTAATCGCGTCGGTTGATCAAAGTGCCTATCGAGCATCCACTTTCGGTATCGTAACAACGGATGCTCGCTCGTCACGGTTTAGGAAATACGATCTCGGTTTCGATTTAGGAGGGATTTTCGACAACTTAGCTCGATCAATTGCGAAGTGACTACTGTTCGATAAATATTTGCTACTTTGTGTCTCTTTGTATCTAATGGATTTTATATTCATAAACATCTTTTAACATGGGATTGAATAGCACCCGATTGAAGCGGAGTTTTTAATCGTTGGATGATAAAATCGTGCCAGCACAGATCGTTTTAATGAATCGATCACTATCCGTATGCGATGCTAGCTGAAATCGAAGCGTGTAACGTTTCTACGAGTCTCCGTGATTTCAGCACTCTTATTTCGCCTGGTTTTAATCACGTCTCTGCGAGTATGTATATACATGTATGCATTTATCTGTATATGTGTGTATATATATTATGCGAACCATTACGACACGTACACATATTTATATTATATTTTTAAAGGAGTTTAGTCACTTGAATCTGTGATATAGATAGTAATTATTATCTACAATGTTTTTAAACTATTGGTTTTACTATTTTGACGAATATCAAAACGAGGAAAATGAAAAAGCAATGTCACGAGGCGATCGAAAATTTTAGCAACGTTGGTCTCTACCGAAGGTGTGTTTGGTAGACACCCTATTATTAATTTTACAACAGCAACAACAGTAACACTATATGGCTAATCCTACTACTATCACTGCTATTATTCTAACTACCACCACTATTACTTCTATCACCACCACCGACATTTCCCAAATTATACATTTACCTATCGTTACTATTACGGCTATTACTACCACTATTATTCTACTGCTACTATGTACTACTATACTACTAAAAAAGAAGAAACTACTACGATCACATTATCGCTAAGGATCACACTCACACATGCGAGAGCGCGCGTTTATTTCGACAATTACGTGTAGTACATACGATCACGTCATATAGTCGTCATGGTTTCTCTTTAGCTTGAAACGCTACGAGAATTCCTTCTGTCGCTTTCCCTGTAGATCGTAAAACGTCCATCTCTTCACAACATCGACGGATATGTTCGTATGTGAGGTGCGCGTTTGTGATAAAAAGAAAATTGTTCTTCGTTAGAGTGTAGAGCACACAGCTTTCGATCAGTTCCATAGTTGTACTTACTTTCCACATATCTCGAGGTGTACACAGATATATATATATATATTGTATATACATATACATATACGACGTATGAATGTATAATAAAGCGGAAGAATAGGATGCAGGTCATAAAAAATGCAGTTGTGTCATGTAAAAGGCGCAATAGGCTGTTGATTCTTCGCGAATGATCTTAGCTATTAGCTTATTATTAATTCCTGTTTTCTCTTTCTTTTTCTCTGATAATCACGTCACGTGTTTTAATTCAAGCGCGAGGGAACCATGACAATCGCGCGTAGAATTGAGAGTAAATCTCAAAGCACATCTTAAACGCGGCCATCGCTTTCGAGTAATCGAAATCTGCGATAATTGCGATTACGTGTAAGTGCAATTCACCAACAATTGCGCGTTTAACACGCGAAACCGCGTTGTAGAGCTACGAAGGTACACAAATCGAAAGAAACTATATATTCGTGCTAGCGTGCCTCGAACCCCCTTATTGTGGTTCTCTCTTTTTTTTTATTTCTCCCTCTCTTTTTCTTCTCTCTTTCTATCCCTTTTAGCGATTTAATTTTCACGTCGTAAAATGATCAAAATGATCCTGCGCGCGTATGCCTGAGGCTTTCGATTTAAAGAGGATGCGAAGTCACCTGGGCAAGACTGATCTTTATTGTAACGAACTACGAGATGCGAAGTGTTTATTCTCTCTCTTTTTATCTGTTTTTTTTCTCCATTTTATTCTCTCTTGTCTTTCTGATTTTCGTTTTTCACCGGATGTAAGCGCGTGTAAAACGCATTGAAAAGAGGATAGTACGATAAAGTATTTCATTGACGAAGAAGAGCCGCGTAAAATTGTACGTTTGTGGACGAAATGAGTTAAGTAACCGGGCAAATTGGTTAACGTAATCCATTGTTTCATTAATTAACGTAGTTAATTAATTAAGCGACTGACCGCATTGATTAAAATTAAATAAGCGATTAATTAAGTTAATTACGCGTAAGAGAAATCGTGAACGCGCGTGATTTCTGGTTCACGAACGTGTTAAAGAATGAAGTGCAATGAGAGAACGCAATTGATCTTTTTTGTCGGCTAGTCATTGGGCAGCTCTATGAGATATTAAGTGTACTACAAAGCTGTGATTAAAGCCTCCGAGCATATGACCGCGCAGCTCCTAATTATAGTGATATATATATATATATATATTTTGTAGTTTATTATAAATATGTAAGTATAAAAAGTGAAATTAGGTAGCCTTAGGAATATTTAAAAATCGCAGTTCCGGTCGATCGTTTTATTCACTCACGATCTCTTTCTTTTTCCTTTTCCTTTTTTTTCGTTTTAGACGCATACCTTCGCAGTGTTGGGCAAAGGCACATATGTAGATGTCATAAGTTATCGTTTGGGAAGGACTCGCAATTATGCGAGTATTTAAAGAGAGTTTTATACGAATGCGCGCAGGGCGCGGGTTTACATTTTTTACATTTTTACATAACGATCATACTGTTTGAAATAGATGCTGGCTTTGTCCAGAGGACTGCTGTTATCTTATTTTAAGCTAATTTATTTGCCAATAATGTACGAATTGTCAATTCATACTCTAGCTGCACACAATTTGTTATGAATATTTGATGATGGAATTCGATTTAAATATGATCGTACAAATCAAATGTAGAACCTATACACACAGAAAAAAAGTACATACTATATTCAAATATTAATTACTTGTTTCGAGTATTTTAAAAGTTTATATCCACAAATCTATTATAAATTCACAATCATCAAATTTATTCAAAATATATTTTGAATTCCAATAAGTTTAATATTTCAATCAAGTTATTAAATTAAAACAAATTTGATTTGCCTATTACATGTATAAAGTCGCTTCTTATGTTACAGTGTTTTTCCAAAGGAAATAAATTTTTATTTTAAGTACATGATAATAAGTTTTTCTCTTAAATTTCGAAGTATATTTTAAGACTATTATCAAGAAAATATTTTTTTGTTAAAAGTAACTATTACTTAAAAGAAAAAAGTAAACTAAATAATCACTTTTCTTAGGAATAGAATATTTTTCTGTGTATGGGATCAATTCGTTTAATTGAAAGAGCTTCAATTTACTTGCGTTGCTAAACATCAAGATTAAAGAATCGCACAAAACTTATTACTTTCGAAATTTCATATAAGATGATTTTGCAATACGAAAAGACATGCTCGCAAACGGCAATAATTACCGATGCTTAGAAATGCGAAATATCGCGATAGCATCTCCGGTGAACGTGACCGATAAATTTCAGTCAGAAACGATCGTTAGCCAGTAAAATCAGCGTCCTAAAAATGTAGTGAGATTTTAACTGTGTTATCCAATACGTAGAATTAGGAGCTATTTCAGACAGTATATCGCGTACATGTAAGCTGATATACGTATATTTTTTAAGATTGCCCAGCACTGACTTATCGAATCGGTAATAACGATCTCACATACCGACCGCTTTTTCGCGGACGTATCTTCGAGTTCTATTCGCGACATGTATATCAAAAAAATGTGTATTTTCGTAAGAAGGGGGGAAAGACGGGTTCTTCTTTTGGGAGGATCCTCGTCGGACCAATACATCTGTATATATAAAAGATAAAATGAAAAATAGAAACAAGGAAGATGTTCTACGGCGCTTTTAAAGCGCAGAATACATCTACAAGTGCTATATACTTATACATAACGATGAGCGTATACTTCTACGTAAAATGCGAGATTGCACATTTCTTTGTTCATTTATCTCAGTTTTTCTGTCTTTCTTGGTGTGCGTCTTATGTACAAATTTTTCTTTTTAGTCATCATACTATCAGACGATTTCAATGCTTTTTATTAGCCTTTTTGTTTAAATAAGCGTGAAAGATTTTTTTATTGTATTTTAAATAATTATCTTTTTTTTCTTTTTAAGAAAAGATAGTGTGCTAAAATGCGAATAAGTTACAAAAAAAGAGGATGTGTATTTGTAACAGAGATTTTAACTGCAATATGCTTGGCCGAATTCGTAGATGATTGATATTAAAAGTTCGAGAATGTAATATCAACTTTGTTCTACTTTTTTCCCACCCGTGACTAAGATAGATATACTCATTGCATTGGCTTATTTTTGTTCCACGACTGATATTCCTCATGACGTCTTGAATTATTTCCGGTATTTCGAAAGTCGATTATCGCAACAGAGATATCGCATGGCTTAATATTGATTCACTCTTCCCACTTTGCAATGCAACGTCAGAGATTAATTCATTTTGTGTCGATAAAATTAGAGTTGATTTAAGATCGATTTTCATTTAATCGATAAAAAATTTGACATTAGAATATCGGCCATCCAGATCATCATATTATCGAGGGCGCGAGAATGGTAAGCTGCCACACTAAAGAAAAAGATATGACTTATAAACACGTAAATCCGAAATTTCTAAAAACATCTTGTACATAGTGTAATCAATAAGGGAATCAAAAGACATATTGTGCTAGGAGACAAGCGTAAAAGTCCCTACGTAAAATAATTCAGAAAGTTATTGCGTATGAATTTTACGCTGTTCTTTGCGAGCATTGGCGATTTCAATACGAATACGAGAGATCGAGAGCGAATGACTTTTATATATGCTCAAGTCATGCAGTTTTATCTGAATAATAATCGTATATTATCGTATGTTAATTCCTATCATTGCGATAATGAGCATGTTTAGCTAAAGAAACTGTTATAGTTTGTGATACTCGAGATATAATCTGCTGACTTTAATAATCGATTTATTTGCTGTTTAGTTCCTGCACAAATGCTGTCTCTACTGAATGCGCTGGATGTCTGTAATTTCTATAACATTAGGAAATACACGGTACTGTCTTATTTACGTAAACGTTACAGGTTTCTTCAAAAAAATTTTCGACCACGTAAAAATTGACTAAAATGACTAAAAAATTTCTATGCTTTTTATATTTTATCGCGGAATGTAATTGCACTGAAAGCACTGCAATGAAAGGCAGTGATTATATTCTGAGTTTTCAATTTTTGTTATAACATTATTAAATAGTGAAAAGTATTTCTCAAGTACTTTGATTTGAATGACAATATTTATTTTGAAAAATTGCAATGTATAAAGAAATATAATATAAATCGGTAAAAGAAATTTAAGAGAAATAGTATCCATTTTATTTTGTGAATGTTTACGAAAATTTAATTTGCTGCACATTAACATTGTATGCAAAATGCCATATGTTTTGAACAATATGCTTTTATAACAAAGATATATTTTGTTTCCGTAAAAAAGTCATGTACACTATATTATATATTAAAAATTGGCTGTTCAGATTTATGTCTGTGATTATTATTACAAATGGTATTAATTTACATAGCCAGTGAAATCACTTCATTAAAAAATTTTATTTGGAATTGAGAGCACAAAGTTAATATTAATTTAAAAAACAATAATTAATAAACAATGAAAATTTGTATTCATACAAACTTTTGTCGAACATTAGTAATCATTCTGTGATTTTATGTTAATGCTGCTTCTAGGATAGCGATATTGTGAATGTACTTGTTATGTTATCTATTCACATTTTTTTATGACCTTGCAGTGCGGAAGAAATACGTTTGTTACAGATAATAGTAAACAGGCGATAAAGAATGGTTATCTAGCTATTTGTAAATAAATCAAGGTTTTGAGATTTTTGTACAGATAGTTTATCTTTTCGCGTATTCAAAGTATAAATGTCTTTATTTGCAATCTATCACAGTATTAGATATTTCCTCACATGTTTATTATCTGAGCAACTTGTAGAAAAATTAGGTCGCTATTTAACGTTTGTATTTTGTAAAATATGTAATTTATATAAAATATTTGTATCTATCAAATCAGTCATTGATTTACATACATGATAATATGATACCACACACACATCTGAAGATTTTTTTTATGCAAAATATATATTCATAAAATTCTTCCGCACTTTTCTGAAATTATACTAACATTGATTTTAATTTAATTAGTCATTTTTATATTATTTCTACTATTTCATAAAGTTGATAGCTGTGTAATTTTGAAAGAGATATTAACGACTTTACTCCCTTATTAAATTCTTCCATCGCTATTACATTTATTTCGTTATTACAATTTTTAAAAAAGAAAGTACTTTTATATAAATTAATGCGATGAAGTTTCGAGGATTTTGCTAGGTATTAAAGATTATATAAGACAAGCTTCGACATAGTTATCTTTTTTATTTTAATTAATTATCATTTGAGCCGTTTCCTTATATTGTTAATTTTTTATTTTAATCACTTCTCGCTAATATAAAAAAAAATAATTTGTTGGAAATTTCATCAAACTCTTCCTATCTTGTAGATAAATAAATTCTCGCTCATCTCTCAATGACGCTGCTCTCTTGCGCTTGAATATGATAGTGATAGATCAGCGATATTAATAGCTAACATAGCTAGTAATCGCAACTTGTTAAACAACAAAGTGATCCTGTGTTAAAGTCGGTTTGTGGATTCTAGGATGCCATACTGTCATGGAGATAAAAAGATGCTTTTTAAGGCTTGACGAAAATCGACTTTATATGAAGAGTGGTTCTCAATTCATGTGCTGACGTTAAGTTATTTAAACTTGCAAAATTTTGCAATTTTTATTTTATTTAGAGTAAAAGACAAAAAGCTTTAAATACATTGTTACTTTTGAAATTCTCAGTTGTATGTTTTCTAATAGTGCATACTGTGCCATTAGAAAATTTATGCTGTGTACGTAATTTATATACAACGATATATTTCTATATTTTAATAATGAAATAAGGAAAGTACACATGTATACGTATAATTTTTTTACGTATAGAGATTTATGTTGTGTATTTTTAATGTATTATTTTTCTGTATAAATTTTTGTATACAGTTGATATGTTTTGTTATATTCCACATAAAATTGATTTTTGTTGGACTTTTTAAGGTATTAGGTACCATATCAATTTAAAAAAAATGTTTTTAAGAAATAAATTATTTTAATAATATTTTTTATTCTCTCTCTAAATTGAGAACTAAAAATCAACAGCTTCGTTGCAATAAAAAAAAAGAAAATATCCATAAAATCGCAAGAAAATTCACATAACAAAAGAAGCGGTTTTATGAATGTTAATTGT